TTTTTTTCATCTGACAAACTCTGAATAAGCTAACTAATTAAGAAGGGAATGAAGGATCAACTGACACAAGGCAGGCTTACTCACTATAATCTGACTTTTACTTGAATTAAATCTGTACTGCAAAAATTTCTGATAGCTGTGACTATAGCAGAGATAAATAAGTTTTCCATATCCACTATTTTAGACTCAAACTTGCTATTCAGATTTAACCGGCTTAAAATGTGGAATTCAGTGAATAACGTTTTTTAATAGGCTTTGATTCAATAAACAGCAAATTAAAGGGACACTATAGTCACCAGAACAACTACAGCTTAATGTATTGTTTCTGGTGTCTATAGTCAGTTCCTACAGGCATTTTCATGTAAACACTGCCTTTTTTCAGAGAGAAGGTAATGTTTACAGTGCTCTCTAGGGACACCTCCAATTACTCGGCAAGTCACCCAGACAGCACGAGAGAGGTTTCCTGAGACAGTGATGCACAACATGCTCTGCATAGAGACGCTGAACTTTCCCCATAGGGATGCTATGATTCAATGCATCTCTATGAGAAGATGCTGATTAGCCAGCACGGCGTTTGGCTGAGAACATCAGATTTGACAAATTCAGCCAATCCATAAGAAATCATTGGATTGGCTGAGATAGTCAATTCTGATAATCTCAGCAAAGGAGCTGGATTAGGGACGGGGCAAGCACCGGCAGAGCCGTACGGCACTGGAATAAAGGTGAGTTTTTATCCTATTTAAGTGGGGGAAAGGGGTCGGCCACCTAAATAGTGTTTTAACATTATATGGTCAGAAATAAACATTTGTATTCATGACCCTATATCACAGGTGCCCAAAATGTAAATCCCCAGAATATGTAGAACTACAACTCCCATGATACTTTGCATGTCTTTAGAATTACATCTGGGGATCTACCTTTTGGGAACCCCTGTCCTATAGTAAGTCTCTCTTTAAATCTGATTTGAAAATATTAGACTGGAAAGAAATTGCACTGAAAAAATGTGACCTAAATTTATCGTCATTTTTTAACCCACAACACTTCACAGTTTGCTGAATGACTTGGTAAGGGTTTATTTACTAAAAAGTTAAAACACATTGCAAAATTCAGACAGATAAAGCAGAATTCTACACTTCATCAATAGGGGCAGCAAAGGAATTATGCAATACAGTGTTTTGTTTTTTTTGTCAATCTTAATTTTTGCAAAGATGCTCCAAATTAACAGAACAGACAAATTAATAGAAGATGCCAAAACAAACAGGGAAACCACTTAGTATAAATCCGGTTGGTAAAATAACAAGCTCCAAAAACTCAAAAGCAACATGAGGGGCAAGGAATGCCACACTGTAAAGTACAAGTAAAAATAAAAGGAAGCAAAGGAGAAAGATGAATACAAATGAATACAGAAGAGCCACACACGACCTCTTGCACAAGCAAAGATATACAGTTCAGTGTTCACCATAATTCACTTGTCTAACCCCTTAAAGGACCACTCTAGGCACCCAGACCACTTCAGCTTAATGAAGTGGTCTGGGTGCCAGGTCCTTCTAGGGTTAACCCATTTTTTCATAATTATAGCAGTTTCAGAGAAACTGCTATAATTATGAATGGGTTAAGCCTTCCCCCAAAGCCTCTAGTGGCTGTCTCATTGACAGCCACTAGAGGCGCTTGCGTGCTTCTCACTGTGATTTTCACAGTGAGACGCACGCCAGCGTCCATAGGAAAGCATTATGAATGCTTTCCTATGTGACCGGCTGAATGCGCGCGCAGCTCTTGCCGCGCGTGCGCATTCAGCCGACGGGGCGGAGGCGGAGGAGGAGAGCTCTCCGCCCAGCGCTGGAAAAAGGTAAGTTTTACCCCTTTCCCCTTTCCAGAGCCGGGCGGGAGGGGGTCCCTGAGGGTGGGGGCACCCTCAGGGCACTATAGTGCCAGGAAAACGAGTATGTTTTCCTGGCACTATAGTGGTCCTTTAAGGACCAAACTTCTGGAATAAAATGGAATCATGACATGTCACACGTCATGTGTCCTTAAAGGGTTAATAAACTCTATAACAGTATACCAAAACTGGGGTGCTTCACGGATGCGCTAAATCCTAAACAAATAGTGCCATAACTAACATTTCCATGTGCAACACAGCACTGAAATTGTTTAGAAACCACCTAAACTCTTGCATCGAGACCATATACAAGATGGCAGATATTTAACACCTTAAGGCCACATGACATGTGTGACATGTCATGATTCCCTTTTATTCCAGAAGTTTGGTCCTTAAGGGTTTAATATCTATATGCTTAGAACTTAATTGCAAAAATCACTACGCTCATTAATGAATGCATTAATCCAGGGCTTGCCAAACTTGCTTGGAATCTAGGAGCCAGCTAAAAAAGTTAGGAGCCAGGTTTTTCAATGTCAAAAATACAATTCTGAAAGATACACTATAGTCACCAGAAACACTACAGCTTAATGTATATATTCTGCAGTCTATATCCTGCCCCTGCACGCTTTCCAATGTAAATACGGACTTTTTAGACAAACGGCAATGTTTACATTGCTGCCTGGTAACACACTTCGTTACAGTCACTCAGAGAGCCTCTAAATGTGCTTCTGTTAATGCTCCCCATAGAGATGCATGGATTCAATGCATCTCTATGAGGTCAAGTGGACTGGCGCAGCATGGTATTTTGCAGCGCATGCGCAAGTCTCCCAATGTTTTCCTATGGGGAAGCATTGAATTGGCTCAGATCGTTAAGATTAATGAACTCAGCCATAGAGGTGGGACTCCCTGCGGTGTCACCACCACAGCATGGTAATAAAAAGATGAGTAAAAACACCTTTGCCATGTGATTGGAAGAGGGCTATTCACCTAAACATACACACTCACTGATTTGATACACACACTCACTGACAGACACACTGATTTGATACTCACACCCACTGACAGACACACACACACTCACTGACAGACAGACTGAGACACACACACTCACTGACAGACAGACTGAGACACACACACACTCACTGACAGACACACTGATTTGATACTCACACCCACTGACAGACACACTAAGAAACACACACTCACTGACAGACACACTAAGAAACACACACTCACTGACAGACACACTGAGACACACACACTCACTGACAGACACACTGAGACACACACTGATTTGATACTCACACCCACTGACAGACACACACACTCACTGACAGACACACTGAGACACACACTCACTGACAGACACATTGATTTGATACTCACACCCACTGACAGACACACTGAGGCACACACACCCACTGACAGACACACTGAGGCACACACACTCACTGACAGACACACTGAGGCACACACACTCACTGACAGACACACTGAGGCACACACACTCACTGACAGACACACTGATTTGATACACACACACACTCACTGACAGACACACTGATTTGATACACACACTCACTGACAGACACACTGATTTGATACACTCACTGACAGACACACACTGATAGAAAAACACACGGAGACACACACACTGATAGAAAGACACACTGAGACACACACCCTGATAGAAAGACACACTGAGACACACACCCTGATAGAAAGACACACTGAGACACACACATTGATAGAAAGACACACACATTGATAGAAAGACACACTAAGACACACTCACTGACAGTCACACACACACAGCGCAACACTTACTCACAATTTATTCCTTTTTTTAAACTTTAATTTAAATCCACCCAGCCTCCATACCTGGGAGAGCTGGAGTGGATATGCTTTCCCTGGGGTCCAGTGGGGCTGCGGTCATCTCCCTGCTCTGCTTACTAGAACGCTGTTCAGTGATGCAGGACCGAAGTGAAGTCATTACCCAGCTCCCAGCATCACTGGAGGGAACACAAGCAGAGGAGGTAGATGACAGTACCTTCTCCACTGCCGCACTCATTCAGCCTTCTGCCTGCCCGTTTCCCCCAGGTTCCTGCATCCAAACCTTTGATCCGGTATCTGGCGCTGGACACTCTCAGGCTCTGCATGAGGACATCCAGTGTCAGATTTTTCCCTATAGATTTAATGCTTTCTTATGGGGAGGTATCATGCCCGCTCATAGCGGGGCAGAAGAGGAAGCGGAACAAAGGTAAGTAAATAAAAGGTTTTTAACCCTTTATTTACTGCGGTGGGGGAGGGGGTAATGCCAGGAATACAAAGCACTTATAGTTTCCCTTTAACTATATTTACGATTTAAGAATTGTTTGACAGCTTACCTGGGTCCGGCCAGGCACCCACCGCTGTTTCTCTTGCTGCTGAAAGCCCCTAACATGCAGCTAAGCCCAGCTAATGGGCCGAGAGCACTCAGGTTACGATTTTAGCTAATGAGTGCAGCCCTGTACAACCTGGTTCAGCTCACTGGTGCGAATTGGAAGCAGCTTCAAGTAGCAGGGAAAGGAGCGGTGGTGCCCAGGAGGACCCTGGTAAGTTGTCAAACCGTTTTTAAATGGTTAAGTGGGCTATAGTAGTCATGATGCTTGGAGTGTAACTAGCTTTTTCCTCCCTTTTGTAGCTAAATCTAATCTTATCCACTGCTAAATGGTTATTTCTGCTCCAGTTACAAGACTTCAAAATATGCAAACCAAGTACTTTTTATTCCATATATGTAGTACAGATGTCAATAATATATGAATACCTTGCTCCTGTGAATTACAACACTTTATCATCCCAGATGGCAAGAGCACTAATGCAGAGCTCACTAAAGTCAAATGAGGATAGTCTGCAGCTGCTTCACAACCAAGATTTAAAATGCACACAGGACAGGTATCTGTCATTTGATCAGACGGTTTGGCAGCTGACTGTGGCTATTGTTATTCAGTGTCACGGATGTGCATTTTGGTCCTGCCCTGTTTTCATTAAGACCAATACAGTCATTTATAAACTCAAATTCCTATTTATTTTTCCTTTCTCTTTGCAGCACTATTATAATTACTATTATTCATGTATTGCTCCAAATGGTGTGTGTGTGTGTGTGTGTGTGTGTGTGTGTGTGTGTATATATATACATATATATATATATACACACACACACACACACATATTGTTTAACTTAGTGGGGCTAAATTCAAGAGGCAGGATACCTGCCTTGCAAAAGCCTTCTCATTGAGTTGTCTGTGACTGTCAGAGTTGGAAGGGGAGCGTTTGCAAGACAAAAGATCTGCAGCTTTTGCAAGCCTTTTTTGATTTACCCACAATCAAAAAATACATTATCAAATGCATGCATATTTTCATTTGTGTAATATCTAATAGACAGTAACTTAAGTTTTGAATTTGGGCAGTGGAGTGTCCCTTTTAGGACACTGCCCCGGAACCACTACATTAAACTGAGACCCTTTAAATTTCTAAATTTAACAACTGAAATTATTGTTAAATATGATTGCAAATATCAATTTCACCAATCACCAAATGATGATAATGAAAAACTACACTTAATCTGCTAGTTTCCATGACAGCAAGTAAAGAGAGTTTAAACCCAGGAAATGATAAATAAACTAAGAGCATTGTAAAGTAAGTTATGTATATACATGCATTGATCTAGGGATAGACTGTTATCGATTATCGGTTCTGCTGATTATTAGAGAGGATATTCAGCATATTTCTAATTATTGGTATCAGTCTAGTAATTTACCACTGTTACCGATAACTTATTTACTTCTCCCAGTCACCACGCAGTCTTCTGCTTCCGGAAACTCCAGCCAGCAACCAATGAGGCGATGAGTTGCAAACTCACATCACCCCTTATTGTGAGTCCCCGCATGTGACACTAACTGAAGGAAGGGAGGTGAGATAGTGAATAATCTACTGCAATGTACTGGGCTGGCTCACCAAGAGCTCCTATCAGTACCAACAGTGTACATGCAGGAATCTCACTAATCCCATGTTCTTGATGCCTGGGAGTTCAGTTAATGCCATATTTGTGTAGAAATTGTGTAGCTTTTTCAAAACTTTTACTTTACAGAATATCGGAACTTGTTATTGGCAAGCTGCCTGAAAGGCAACTGGTAAACTGCAAAAATGAGGTCCCCACAATGATCCCTAAGGAGTCTTCTTTGTGAGGGGAGTAAATGAATAAACCCAAGCAGAGGGAGTGAAAGCATGATGGCTATTGTAGTCCTACAAGACCTGGTAATCTAACTTGGGGCCTCTCCCCAAGGTAGATCACTAGGTGGCTATAATTAGTAAAAACTGACAGTAACAATGAGTAAAAGTATATAATTTTATGAATATACACTTCAGTTTCGTGATGTAAAGGTTTTTAAACTGCACAGCTATTGTTTTTTTCAAAATAAAATACTGCTGTCAACATTATGTTGTCTCTTAGTATCCCTGTCTGTCTCTGATGTCAGTATCAAGCGGTCTCTCAGTATCCCTGAATGTCCTTTCCTGTCAGTATGATGCTGTCTCTTGGTATCCCTGCCTATCCTCGCCTATCAATACCATGCTGCACCTCAATATCCCTGCCTGACTCTGCTGTCAGTATCATACTGTTTCTCAGTAACCCTGCCTGTTCTATACTGTCAGTATGATGCTGTCTCTGCTGCCAATATCCTGCAGTCTCTCAGCATTCCCCTCTCTCTCTCTCTGTCATTATCATGCTATCTCTCTGTCTGTCAGTATTCTTCTCTGTCTCGGTCAGTATAATGCTATCTCTCTCGCACAGTCGGTCTGTCGCTGTCATACCGTCTCTGTCTGTCGCTATCATGCCGTATCAGACTGTATCGGTCAGTGTGTTAGTATAATACTCTGTCAGTATCATGCTGTCTCTCTCTCTGTGTCGGTATCATGCTGTCTCTCTCTCTGTGTCGGTATCATGCTGTCTCTCTCTGTGTCGGTATCATGCTGTCTCTCTCTGTGTCGGTATCATGCTGTCTCTCTCTCTCTCTGTCGGTATCATGCTGTCTCTCTCTCTCTCTGTCGGTATCATGCTGTCTCTTTCTCTCTGTGTCGGTATCATGCTGTCTCTCTCTCTGTGTCGGTATCATGCTGTCTCTCTCTCTGTGTCGGTATCATGCTGTCTCTCTCTCTCTGTGTCGGTATCATGCTGTCTCTCTCTCTCTGTGTCGGTATCATGCTGTCTCTCTCTCTGTGTCGGTATCATGCTGTCTCTCTCTCTGTGTCGGTATCATGCTGTCTCTCTCTCTGTGTCATGCTGTCTCTCTCTCTGTGTCGGTATCATGCTGTCTCTCTCTCTCTGTGTCGGTATCATGCTGTCTCTCTCTCTCTGTGTCGGTATCATGCTGTCTCTCTCTCTCTGTGTCGGTATCATGCTGTCTCTCTCTGTGTCGGTATCATGCTGTCTCTCTCTCTCTGTGTCGGTATGATGCTGTCTCTCTCTCTCTGTGTCGGTATGATGCTGTCTCTCTGTGTCAGTATGATGCTGTCTGTCTCTGTGTCAGTATGATGCTGTGTCTCTGTGTCAGTATGATGCTGTCTCTCTCTCTGTGTCAGTATGATGCTGTCTCTCTCTGTGTCAGTATGATGCTGTCTCTCTCTCTGTGTCAGTATGATGCTGTCTCTCTCTCTGTGTCAGTATGATACTGTCTCTCTCTCTGTGTCAGTATGATACTGTCTCTGTGTCAGTATGATGCTGTCTCTCTCTCTGTGTCAGTATGATGCTGTCTCTCTCTCTGTGTCAGTATGATGCTGTCTCTCTCTCTCTGTGTCAGTATGATGCTGTCTCTGTGTCAGTATGATGCTGTCTCTCTCTCTGTCAGTATGATGCTGTCTCTCTCTCTGTCAGTATGATGCTGTCTCTCTCTCTGTCAGTATGATGCTGTCTCTCTCTGTGTCAGTATGATGCTGTCTCTCTCTGTGTCAGTATGATGCTGTCTCTCTCTGTGTCAGTATGATGCTGTCTCTCTCTGTGTCAGTATGATGCTGTCTCTCTCTCTGTGTCAGTATGATGCTGTCTCTCTCTCTCTGTGTCAGTATGATGCTG